CTTAACATGCTTAAACATAATCGAGAAGAATATTAGGTAAAATCTATTTAATTAATTTAATTTGAATCATTTTGTAAATTATTTTTTAATCAAAACTTAATAATTGAGCTCAAATAATAAGGTAATGTTATGTGAGTGACAAGTAATTCTTTGTTATTCACCAAATACATTATAAAAGTAAATGAGTACTGTTTTAAATAAAATTATTTTTAGAAATTTTTATACTTTTCAAACAATTTATCCATAATAATGCCTAAAATAATCAAAATTATTCAAAATATTTTCCCTTTGTTAATCATTTCCCTGATGCATTTTTTATTTTCCGGAGTATCCCTATAAATTCCGTCCCGGCAACATGGGAATTTTAGGAATTTTCAAATAATGACGAACATTACCTATAATTAATAAACTAGTCTAAATATAACCATGGTTGAAATAAATATGCTTTACTGTAATGTGTATAAAGTACACGGTGAATAGAGAGTGCGCATGCGCGGCTATACATTACGATACTATGATTTATTTAAAAGTGATGAAATCAATGCACATAACACTGAAGTATTGAATACTTCAAACTTTTCAGTGCCTAACCATTGCTACCGAAATGGCTGTGAATTAGTGCCATTTGTTCCCCCGTTTTGTTCATGTGTTGACACTTTTATAATCACTGTTTGTATTGTTTTACTAATTTGTTTGTGATTTGGTTTACATTTATAGCCATTCATTGAATCGTAAGTCCATTTCAGACATCGCTTTGTATATTGTCTTCAAATACCAAACCATTTGTTGTCTTAATTATTGTCTCATTTTGTGTACAAATTATTTGATTCAATGAAACAAAAGTTTGTTTTATTGTGTTTTCAATAACTCATTGTTTTGTTGTTTCGTTTCAGTTGTCGACCAAATACTGGATCTATTAGTTAGTGATAACTGAAGAGCACGTGATATAAACACCACAACTGTTTGGATACTTGAGAGACGATATGAGCGGTAAAAACGGGCCGAAAATGTCGGCCAAACACAAGTCATTGTTAATAATAGCGTTGACTTCGGGTCTAATCGTAAACCTCATCAAAATGTGTGTCCAATACATTGTCAACACATTTAGAAGATCTCCGACATTAAATACAAGTCAAGAACCGCTGACCATTGGATCAAACAATGACAACGACTGCCAGACGGCCGACGAGGAGAAGAAGAAGAAGAAATCGGAGAAAAAGAAATTACAGAAAAAGAAAAAACGCGACAAAAAGAAGGCCGAAAAGGAGACACAGAAGGACTCGACCGCTATCTCTTCGGCAGCCAATCACTCGCAGAGTGACAGCTATTCGGACGCCGAAGAGGACGAGCTGTCGTTCAACAGCGCATTCGTGGCACAAATTGCTCAAAGAAAGTCGAAACCCGCTTATCAACAAAAAAGCGGAACCAATACCGCGACGACTACTACGACAACAGCTCAACAACACATACCATCGCAAAGTGATATTCAATTTAACGGCGAAACTTACCCCCAAATGGTGAACGCATTTGTCATCCACGCCGCCAGCGGTGACGGCGACGGCACTGAATCGGATGCCGACGACAAATACGTGTCGGACGTGGAGTACAAGCCGTCGGTTCGCGAGCGGCGGACGTCAACGCGTGACAGTCAGCGCCGAGAGTTGAGAGCCGAATGGCTGGACCTACAGGTGATCGCCGGTAACTTTCAGTACATATTCACTGAACTCGAGAGAGGGGTTTACGTGCAGTCACTCGTCGTTATGAATAAATGCATTCACAGAATGAATCGATTGGAGAAGAATTGGGAATCGTATAGCAATGGCTCCAAGCGTTCGGTCGGTATAAAGAGATCTGTATTCGTCTCGTATTTCAGAAGGGCTTATAGAGAGAGGCAACGTATCGGACGTCGATTAGTGTCCGCTTCGCTCATCAATAGGTATTTGAGTTAATTTTATGTAAAATATAGTAATTATTATTTAAATTGTATTGTTTTGCTGTGTACTTAAAGTCTAAACCTGAGGCAAATCGACTTTCACGGCCACCGCGTGTTTGATGTGAAGATTCTTTTACCCAAATTTTTGCGCCAAAAGTATAGCGAAATGACTCGCAGTTCGCATCAAAAGTTAGAGTTGCGTATAATTACTGGCTATGGCTCACAGAAGTATGTGTGCACTTCCGATGCTCTCTCGGCAGCGATGGACACGCCTTCCAGTCCTGTCCCGAGAGTGGACTCGCCTTCAGATGAAGTTCAGGGAAAGATTAAATCGTTTGTCGAACTCTTTCTAATAAATAATAATTTAAAGTAAGTTTGCATTTTAAGAGTTAATTGTTTTCCATCTATTGTATAATTATTTTAATTAATAATAGTTACTCGATGGAGAACCCTGGTTCATTTATTGTTACTATAACTAATGTACCAATTATGCCAGATGATGATGGTGTTAATAACGACCATGATGAACTTTTCGCTCAACTCTTTATTAAAGCCTCAAAACGTTGGCTTCCAATGTATGCCAAAGAATAACAATACTCTTAAGTCTTAAGCCAAATGTTTTTGAATTATATTATTAATTGAATTACAATGTGATTGACTGAACATTATTTAAACTTTTGTTTAATTTTCTGTTTTATTTTGTGTTTTATAAGTAAACTATTAATTACTTGTTTTAATTAAATTGTGTAATTTATGTGATTCTCATTTTTTAAAAACTTTTTACAATTTTACATTAAAAATCATGTTTGTATTCAAACTAAACACTTGTTTTTTACTTTTGTTATAACTGTAAAAACTTTTCTAACTTTTAGAAGTTTTACAAAAATATTTGCAATATTTTGTCTTTTTTGTATTGTGTGGACACAACCAATAGGTGTCGTACATAGCGTTACAATACTGTTAGACATGAAAAGGGCGTAACTCTACGACAAACACGCGTTGAGTTACGACTTATTGCCGAATGAATGGTAAAAGTCATTACGAAATGCAATGCAAAACGTAATCAAAACATTGACTTAACATTTGGTTTGTTGTCACTTGAATTGATCCCAACAGTCATCTCAAGCCCCGGTGATAGCGGACACTCATTGGCGCAGACAATGGCAGACTGTCTGACAGACGCCGAGTGCGAGAAACTGGTGGAAGAGTTGACCAAATCTGGCGGAACCGCTCAGGGGTTAGACAATCACCGCCTGAAACAACTGAAGACATACTGTCGTCGCGGAGGCGCCGATCGTATTGACCGCGTGTTTCGACAGCTGTTCCACGCGTTGGCCGCCAATCACTCGCAGATCCGTTGCTCAGCCCTATTGCTCATCGACGAGCTGTTCCGGCGGTCGCATCACTTTCGGCTCAGAGTTGTGGACAATCTCTCGGAGTTGTTTGAGTTGTGTCTGGGATTGAAGCCGAAGACACGGCCTCTGCCGAAGCCTAAGGCCTTCGCCGAACGGCTCCGGCAGTCGGCGATCGACTCGTTAAGGAAATGGACGCAAGAGTTTGGCGAAGGATACGAGACGTTGCGATCGGCGGTGAAGTACTTGACAGACAATAGACTCGTAGACTTTGCCGAACGAGCCGTTCAGACCACTGATGAGAGACAGGCGGCCGACGAAGAGCTCCGGCGGCGACAGAATGTGATGAAAACAAAGATTGAGAAATGTGTGGAAGAGTTGCGTGAATTGTCACAAGAAGTGGATTCAGTTGTCACTCAAATTAACTCCTGTTTTGAGCTCTTGTTGCCCAATATGGCGGCCGAAGGACAAGACATTGAGGGATCAGATGATTATTCCTCACGTGTGAAGCATTTGACTGATTTTTCGGTCGATATTTTGCTCAAACCGTTTGCTGAGATTGTGGACAACGACGACACGAATCCAATCATTAGTAATCTTCGAGAACTTCACTCCGAATTGTCTGCCATTCTTGCGAATCGACTCAAACCAGTGATACAAGTGATGTCCAAAGGGTATGATTTGTGCGAACCGGACCTCAAACGAGCCATTGATCTGAAGTACAGAATGTCTGGCATTCGGCAAAAGTTTGTCGAATTGAAAATCATTAAATCCGGTGAAGAGCTGATCCCAAACCACACCAAAGATTTGGACGATTCGGACGACGACTTTGAAGAAGTGCCCGAAAAAGAAGGTCTGGAAATGTTTATACCGGAACACCTGCGCCACGAGTACGGACTCGAGCCGCTCGACCACAACCAACCGTCCACTTCGGGCGCCAGTAGTAGTAGTAGTGGTCAGTCGTCATCGAAGCCATCATCGAGTGAAACCACATCCACAGCATTGGAGTGTAAAGCGATGCTCCCGTCGGGCAAACTGTGTCCGCGCAGAGACGCCGTGAAGTGTCCATTCCATGGGCCGATCGTTGAGCGCGACTTCAATGGCGAACCGCTGGACGCAGAGCACCGACGACTGGACGCCTTGCGAAAGGCCAACGCTTTGCCCGAATGGCAGAATCCGCGACTTCTGCGCGAACTGAAGGCCTCGACGGGAATCGATTTGACGCTAAACTCGACCCGAAAGCGGGCGAAGAAGTTCCCCGAACTGCAGGACATTAAACGCCCGGCCGCTGACTCCCGGCGACGACTCGAACGCCGAGTGTTTAACAAAGCGCGCAGAGAACGGGTGGACAAGGATTTGAACGAAATCCAGAGTAGAAATCAGACGCACTTTGAAGACCAGTGGAACTACTCGTTGCAGAGTTAGACCCCAAGAGATGTCAAATGAAAGTCACATCAATTGTTTGCTTTGTTTTAAAATGCATTTGTTTTTTATTTAAAATCCTATTAATTAGAAAACATTATAATTTGTTTTTCATTAATTATATATGTTTTACATTTTGTGTGAATTGTGTTTATATTTATTTATATATATTTCTTATCATTAAAGTTATGTGTAAAACAATTTTTTGTTAAACACTTTGTTGTGTTAATACAATCGTATATTTTTATTCATATGTTTTTTAATCCAATTATAATTACTATTAAGTTTATATTTCATTAAAAACTTATTGTAAGTATTAATTCAAACAAGAAATATAAAGAATATTCTGTTTAAATATTTTATATATCATATAATTATTAGTATTTAAACTAAATTCTTGAATGAAATCATAAAATCATTAAATCTTTGGTTAAAACAATAAAAGACTAAACGATAAATTGAATTGATTTAAAGGCTTTCATAACACATCAAAATGTGAGCCAAAACTTGGGGGACAATCAATATATCAATTGTAATAATAATAATAATATTAATAATTGTAATCAAAGAGCAATTCAAAACATTTAATATACGTATAATTAATATAATAATTACTAAATAATTATACATACGTTTCGATTCATTTCATAAAATATACTTTTTTTTCATAACATAACACTTCGTAAGTGAACACAAAAAGTCAATCAAATTATTATTGTTTATCCAATTATTTATTCAGTAATATATTTATTGGGACACATTGTGTGGACGGGTAGGTCTGTCCCCTCCCGGAGCGGAGCACTTATTTAGGCTTTTGAAAGGGTTGGAGACCTTTTTTGAGCGGATTGCACATCCAGGCCTGTTTGTCGACACCACGATTGGCCTGAATATGTTTGTAAAGGCATTTGTCGCCGCGCGCGCACCCAGTCGTGCGCCAGTAGTAGCACTCGTCCGACTCCAGCCGATGGTCGTAATTGGGTTTCTTCTGGTCTTTATTCGGTCGAAAGCGTATCGTTAGCGGCATTTCCTTAATACTAATCCCAGGAATCACTTTACCCTATGGTTACAACATATTGTTAGCGTTGGAATCAATTCAAGTGATAATTTAAGACATCAAATGGTTGTGTCAACCAATGAGTACCTGATATTTGGTCATTGCTTTACGGGGCGACTCGGAGTTGTCGTAGTGGGCGAGTATGAATGAGCCCCCATTCGTGCCCTTAAAGATGTTACAGTAGTTTAGTTGACCGAATTTGCGGAACAGCGCCGTCACTGTATCGAGTTTGGCCTCTGCGGCCACATTCCCCACCCAAAGGGCTTTCCAACCGAACGGATTGGTCGGTCTGTTGTCCGCAAATCAAATCAAAATGAGTTAATTTTAAAATAAAACAATGAATTCAGTAATAAAACACATACGAAGTCTCTTCAAATGTGGGCTCCCGGGCGACGGCGTTGTACTCGTCGTCCGACACGTATATGTCGTCGTCGGAGAAACTGTTGCTTTTGCGGACACCGCCGCCGAAACCGCCGCCAAATGGGTTGCCGTTCATGTTATCCGTGTTTTTGGTGGCAATTCGGCTGTAATTATGTTGTTTTTGTTCATTACTCTTGAGGGACAGCGCCTTCAAAGCCTCGTCGATGGAGTCGTATTGAGACGAGTATAGGTTAGCGTCGGCGGTGTCGTAACCGGTGTCGACGATAGCGCCGTACCGGACGTGCCATAACTCGGACAGCGCTTCGTCGCAGTCGGCCTCCAAAGTGAGCACTTTTTTGAGGGCGATCTCCGCCTCGTGATAGTTCTTGAGTCCGGCCAACGCTTTGCCGCGTCTGTAGTGACACTTCGGCCAATCGGGACGCAATTGGATGGCCGTCTCGGCGTCTCTCAGCGCCGACCGAAAGTCTTGTATACTGTCGTAACAATACGATCGGTTCACATAAAAGCGGTAATCGTTCACATTGTAGGCCAACGCCTGCGAGAACAGGTCTATCGCTTCCGTGAATTTGTTGTTTTCGGCCTTTTGGTTGGCCTGAATGGCCAGACTTATGCTCTCCTCTATGTTCTTTGCCTTTTGGTCTTTGGTCAGCGGCGGACCCGCACTGGCTTTGGACGCCTTCGGAAAGAATTGCTTATATTTCGGGAACTCGTCCTCCGTTTCGCGATAACTATTACTACTATTCGTTTGATTACTGTTTTTGTTATTATTATTCATATTATTCTTCATTTGATCGCAACTATTATCGGCAAAACCATTATTTTTGTTGTGGTTATCGTTGAAATGGCCGTTAAATTGAATATCACTTTGCGATGGTATGTGTTGTTGAGCTGTTGTCGTAGTAGTCGTTGCGGTATTGGTTCCGGTTTTTTGTTGATACGCGGGTTTCGACTTTCTTTGAGCAATTTGTGCCACAAATGCGCTGTTGAACGACAGCTCGTCCTCTTCGGCACCCGAACCGCTGCCTCCCGAGTGGTGTTCGCCCTCTTTGTCCGCTGACTTCGGCGACGACTTATTGGACGAATGATTGTCTCCCGATTTGGCGCCGTTTTGTTGTTTTATGTTATTCTTAGTTTCGGTCGAGTTTTTCGCCGCGTTTTTGGCCACTTTTTTCTGAGCGTTTTTCGGTTCATTTTTCTGCTCATTCTTCGTCCCTTTGGCGGCGTTTGTGTCCAACATTTTCGAGTTATTTCTCGTATTATTGTTATTATTATTCAAATTATTGCTAATATTTTGATTACTATTACTATTCTTCGTATTATTGTTGTTATTATTGGTATTATTATTGTTGACATTCTTTTGGCAATCGGTCTTCGAGTGATTGGCCGCCGAAGAGGTAGCGGTCGAGTCCTTCGCGGTCTCCTTTTCGGCCTTCTTTTTGTCGCGTTTTTTCTTTTTCTGTAATTTCTTTTTCTCCGATTTCTTCTTCTTCTTCTCCTCGTCGGCCACGAGTTTGACGGCCATATCGTCGGCCGTCTGGCGATCGCTGGCGTACTTCACGCAGTCGTCGCAACCGCACGACTGGCTGTCCTCTCGGCCGAGACGCTCGACAAAGCGTTTGGTGTTCTCGTCGTTCACGTCAACGGATCCCTTATTCTTCGACTTCTTCGCCCCACTCTTTGACTTCTTGGCCGAGTGTTGAGCTGCGGTCGCGGCCGCCGCTGCTGTGGACGCGACGCCGTTTGGCACCGTTTGCTTCTTCGCCGCGCACTTACAGTCGGCGCACATGTGTTGGCCGTCTGTCACCTCTTCGGAGTCGTCGGACTCTTCCTCCTCCTCTTCATCGTAATCGTCGTCATCGTTGTCCTCGTCGTCCGCATCGGACACACCGTCGACCTCTTCCTCCTCCTCCTCGTCGTCGTACTCGTCAGAGGAGTCATTCTCATTGTCTGATCCCATTTGCAGCGCTTCCTGAAGTGTCATCGATGTCATGGAGTTGAGGCTCGTTGTGGTCGCGATGTGTTCGGCGAACAGTTTGATTAGTTTGCGGTCTTCGCCCGAAGCGGCCAACTCTGAGATCAACTGAGACTTCTGTTG